TTTGAGTGGCTCTCGGGGTGTTTGAAGGCAGATTCAGACTCACCTCTCTGATCAACGGTTGTACTATGAAGCAAGTTTGACAAAACCAGGCTTTCTTTGTGTAGGCTGGCTGAACAAAACCTCAAACCTCAGTCAGAGATAATGACATCAATCGGACGTTATCAGTTTCTTTGTTAACTTCATCATTCTTTATCAGTTACCATGGCAATCTAGTGTTATGGCATCAGCAACCATGGCGATCTAGCTGTGTTGCATCAGTTACTGCGATGATCTGGCTGCACAACATCAATTACTATGAAGATCTAGCTGTGTGGTATCAGTTACTGTGGCGATCTCGCTACACCCTAACTTTATCTCTGTTTCAGAGTTGAAACAAGCTACACACATTCTCCTCAGCATCACTTTAATCAAATGAAGGAAGGTTTGCTTTGTTGCATCAGTTCCCATGTCAATCTGGCTGCACAAAATCCATTACCCCGACAATATAGCTTTGCAGCATCAGTTACCGTGGTAATCTAGCAAGATCCACCTTCTTACACTAAAAACTTTGACTTTAGGCTCAACATACCTGCTGTTACATTAATCTTCCTTCGTAGTGCAGCCCTCTGGTTCTCGTCTGTGTGAGTATAAGTCAGAAATATCTGATTTATTCACACACAAAGCACAAATCAAATTCATCGACTCAAATTTAAACAAATATTTTTTGCCGGGACTTCAGATATGTGGCGTCGGATCAGGTCAGAGCGGCTCTCAGGGTGTTTGAAGGCAGATTCAAACTGACTGCTCTAATCAGATCTGATATGTCGTATTTTTGTATTTACATTTTTTTTTAGTCCAGCTCTTTAGTCTTCACTTCTTCATCCCAGCACACCAATGTCTTTCAGCAGTTACAGGATGCAGCTTAGATTAGCTTTATAAATGACTGTTGTCTGATTCAGTGGTTTTCATTCGATATTTGGTAACAGCATCAAAGGTGAACACGGACAAAGATGAAAATCGGGGCAGCGGATGCAGGAAACAAAGCCGATTGTGGAATCGCGTTTTAGATAAATGTTAAAGCTTCCACTGTTCAAGTTTTTGAATTGACTTTGTCGCTCTTTAAGTCTCGTTTAACTCTGACAACAGTCATGAACAGCAGTGGTGCTCCTGGTTCAAATCCAGCTGAAGTTTGCAGTCAACTCTGTAGTCAATCTAAGTTTATTTATATAGCACTTTCCGAAGAAATCAGATGCAGTTCAAAGTGCTTCACAAGAAACTGACAAAGCATAGATGTTGAAAACGGATTTAGAGACTAATGCACATCAAAAAAGGACAATTAAATAATGTAGAAATGTAAAGTAAAATGTTAATAAAATGAAATATAATAAAAAATAATAAAGGTGAAAAATTCAATCAATCAGTCTCTTCCCCCTTTAGCTTTCCTTGTGTTTATGGTTCTTTTTGTTTCCAACAAACTTTAAACACCAAACACTGAACAGGAAGGATTGCAAGTTGTGCGTCATTTCACTTTATAATCAATCAGTCAATCAATCAATCAACCAATCAGTGTAGAGCATTTTATTTTTTTCTCTAATCTCCTAAAACAGTTGCTGACTTTATTTTTTAAGAAAGTTAATCCAACAGTAGGAAACAGTGCATTTGTTGGGGACTGTTTTCAGTGGTGGATTAAACCACATTTGGTGCTCCAGTGCATATGAAGCTCATTAATGTGTTTTCGACTAACTGCAGAGCTTGAATTTAGGCCTTTAAATAAGTTGTATATCCTTTAGTTTTAGTGTATGATATGAAAATGAGATAAGTGTAGTTAGGTCTGGTAGAGCAGAACCTCTCCTGCTGCTGAATGGACTCTATAAAGGAGGGTCCTTGTGACCTGGTTTGCATTCAGGGTCCTGACTAAAAACCGGTCCATCTCTCCGTGTTCACTCTGTCCTGCTTCGTGTCCTCCGGTGTTCAGGGGATGACCGAGGCGGAGGAGGACAAGCTGCTGGCGCTCAAAGACTTCATGCTGAAATCCAACAAGGCCAAAGCCAACATGGGCGAGCAGAGCCACCTGGGGGAGGCGGTGCAGACCGGCGTCATTGACCTGGCGATGCTCGGCATCACCGGCCGCCAAGTTGACCTGGTCAAACCCAAGGCTGAGGCGGAGGACAAGAGAGGTAGGCAATACCTGGCATTGCAAAGAAACCCTCGAATCGGAACAGTGTCGCCTTCTTCAGCTGGGAAACTGAACCCCGATTGTGTTTATGATCAGCTGGTGAATCACTTCATTGGCTGAATAAATTATTGCTCACATCTTTGACAGCAGCTGTTCAGTCATTGGCCTTAGACAGCGTGAGGTGGGAATTTGGTGTTATTTAGGACATTTTATATGCCATGAGACATTTGACTTTCCATTTCCCTTCCACTTCCTAAATGCATTTTCAGATACGTTTTAAAAAAAACAAACGCATATTCTCACTTAACTCAGTTTTTTTTTTTTTTTTAGGTCAGACACATAGGCAGCAGTTTGAATAGACTAAGTAGGAATTGGTTCCAGTGAATCAGAGGATCATCCAGAAACCTGCACACATTTTTTGGCAAGAGAGTTTTATTAAAATTCACCTGAAACCAAATAAAATCAGAACTGTCTGACTGGATCGATACCACTAAACGACAGCTAGAGAATGTGCTGATTCATGCTTCTGCGCCAACGTCAGCAGGGACTGAAGGTGTTATGTTTTCAGGTTTTCCACAATATCTCAGGAACAGCCTGAGGGAATGTTGTTGAAATGTGTCCCCTTTGGCACCTCAGCACAAGTTACATGATGTGATGAATTATATCAACATGACTGTGCTTAATGCTTCATTTATAGTCATACAGGAAGTTCACAGAGAGTTTGATGCTGTCACCACAACATTATTCAGCTAAAAGGTTGTAAAAAAAATAAAAATAAAAAAGCAGATTATCATTAATTAAATCTGGATCTGAGTCCAGAAACAGAAACCCGGCGAGTGCAGCTCAGGTCACTGCTGATCAGTTCAGATATTTAGTTTTATTGAAACTGCATTTTTTCTCTTTCAGCTTCTTGGTTTTCAACTAGTTTTGTGCTGCTTTTGTACAGACTTTAGACTGGTTTTAGACTACTGTAGTCGTAGTTATGGAATGGTTTTGGACTTGGTTTTAGAGTGGTTCAGGGCTCGTTTTGGACTGCTTTTTACACTGATTCTGGACTGGTTTTAAACTTGTTTTAACAAGTCTTGTTTTGAATGTATTTTTGTTCTGGTTTTCGACTTGATTTGAACCTGATTTTACATTAGTGTTGGTCTTGCTTTGAACTAGTTTCGTTACTGTTTTGGTCGTGGCTTTACGCTGGTTTCACATTTGGTTTGAACTTTATTTAGACTTGATTTTAGACAGGTTTTGGAATGATTTTAGACTTGCTTTAAATTTGTTTTAGTCTTGGTTTTAGACTTTGTTAAGACTTGGTTTCAGTCTGGTTTTAAGCTTGTTTTAAACTGATTTTGATCTTGGTGTTAGACTTTGTTCAGACTTGATTTTCGACTGGTTTTAGAGATGTTTTAGAATGGTTTTGAACTGATTTTGGTCTTGTTTAAAAACTTTGGACATTATTTTTGCCAGCTTTGGACTGCTTTTGGACTGGTTTTAGATTTGGCTTGGACTTAATTTTTGAATGGTTTTACACCTGTTTTACATGTGTTTTGTATTGTCTTCGGTCTTGGCTTAAGACCTGGTTTTAGACTGTTTTGGAGTTGATTGTAGACTAGTTTCCAAATGCTTTTGGGCTTTCTAACTCAGGCTGTATGTTTAGGTTTGTTGGGATGAATCTGAGATGATCAGACTAATCCTGATGATGCTGATGGAGAATCTATACATCGATAGATTATTGTTGTGGCTGACACTGTAGCACTGTATGTTCTACTGCTGATCTCACTTCCCATCTTCATTGTCAGGAGCCTCAAACTTTACCTTCTTCTTTCTTCGATGGCAAATACAGCCATTTATTGGAAATCATCCTCAGCTGTTGTGTTTGTTCACAGAGCAGGACTCTGATAAATGAGCTATTCTTCAAAGTCAGGAGCGGATGTCTCTTAATTCCAGATGTTACAAAGAGAAACATTCAAATTTCCAGTTAAACTCAGTTGTTTTCCAGTAAACTGCCGTGTATTCTTGCCACACTTAAACTGCAATCAAGTCCATGTGCTTCGTATTAAAACGTCCTTTCTGTTCATTTCAGAGTCCATCGCTGCAGCATCTGGTACATTGTTCCTTGTGTTTAAGTCTGAAGTGATGCTGCATGCTCGCTGTGAAAGCAATAAAACACTTTAAGGTCCCATGAAATTAAAAACACCTTCTTTCATGTTGTTTCTTCATGGCCCTGATCCTCTGTCTTATCGAGTGCCCAAATCCTGTCAACATATGCATTTTTGCATATTTTAATATTAATATTTTTCCCTTTAATCCTCTTGGTAGTTTTTTCTTCCTCGTTGAGCATTGGTGCGTAAAAATCCAATCCAGTCAGTCGGTTCATCATGTTTAACCTGCAGGTCTCTATACTGAGAGGTCTGGATTCTGCTGTCGGTTTATCTTTTAGATCTTCAAACTGCAGAAGAAAATGATAATGGTTCATTTCATGGGACCTTTGACGTCTAACATTAACCTTAACTAGTTTTTATATCGATGCTAATAGCTGCGTCGTCATGCTGTGGACTTATTTCTAACTAGTGACATTAAAATAAACCACAACAAGGATTTTACTAAGTTTAAACTAATATGTGACTAGTTATGGATGTTTTAATCTATGTTGTGTTTTTTGTTTGTTTGGTTCCTTCAAATAATCACCTCCTTTATTTTTTCCCCTTTTATTCTTCTTGAACTTTCCTTTTTTTTCCCTCTTTTTTTTTTTAAATGTATAGAGACTTTCTTAGTGTATTTCCATATTCAGCAGTTCTGCCACTCTTTCATCCTCTTTCAGTGCCACCGTTTATGTAGAGATTCAAAAGAATGATCAGTAAATTACACTTGAATTATACTAGAGCTTTCACAGATACACTAGTCCATAATATATCACTACATGTGTTTAGGAGCCTTTAATAGTGGATCAGATCACTGCAAATGCTAGAAGAATCCTTCATTGGGCCATACAGGCACCAAAACTGGCCCGTGTGTCCAACACCGCAAATTTTTCATTAAAGAACTTTAGCCACGCAAATTTTCAGACAGATTTTCCAATATGTGATCGTTTGTATTTTTAAACCGCATCATCTTGTAGAGAGATTTGCTTGGTTTTGGGGTCAAAATATCTGTAATTTTGCATGTAAAAGTCAAATTTGTATGGTCTAACAAGACAATTTACATCTTAATAGTATGTTTTGTTTTGTCTTGGCATATGCATTAACGTATAGCAATCTTGCGATGTGATATGCATGCAGTTTAGTATCAGTGTTAGCAGTATTGCCTTGATGGATTCCTGGAACTCGTCCTTACTACTGACCCAACTCCTAACAAACCCATTTAATATAGACTTTTCCGGCTACAGTAAAACTGTGTTAATTCAAGCTCGGATAATTCAAAGTAGCAGCTTGATTCAAAGTGTTTTTATGGTCTCGTCAGTATCCGTTTGTTTGATAGATTTAAGCTTCTCCTTTATGACTTTGAATCAATGAGATTTTACCGTATTTAGAAGGTTCGTAGATGCTTTATGTTGCCAGAAATAAGGTGTCAAAAATGTGTAAAACAATGGTAATGTCATAAAATTTAGAGCTAAAAGATATTTTAAAAATCCACAATATGATGCCAAAGTCCACCATCTTTAAAAATGGCGACTGTTTGTTTCAATTTTTTAAGTGGCTAATGCATCATCCATCATCCCAGTTTTTTTTTTCCTAAATGAGCAGCTGATAAGTAGTGAGCATCCCAAATTTGATGCTTGTATGAACATTTGTAATGATTTTAGTTATCTGCCTTGCTATAAAGTGTTGGCTTAAAATTTGTCCTGCAGGTGGAGGTGCAGTAAAGGTTATGGGACTGTTAATGTACATAAGGGAATTATCTGCAGAAAATTTGAATAAAATCTGAAGAGAAGCAGCTCAGGATCATAAACAATCAGCTGTCTGCAACCAGAAACTTATTTTACTTTGGATGCATGATTTCCTACTGTCTGTTAGAAAGCATAACAGAAAGATTATGTTTACTTTAATGCCACTTCTGACTTTCAAAACACTCCGTCATAATCAGCAGATTGCAGGTGAGCTTCTTTTGTTCGACCACCAGCCAGAAACAGTTAAATGAATCACTATTTTTTTTACACCAGCTATAATAAGTAATTTTTTAAAAAACTGTGTAAATGCTGTGACTGCAGCTTCCTAAATGTAAATATCTCCTGGTTTCTTTCCCTCTCTGTGACAGTAAAGTGAATATCTTTGGACAAAACAACACAAAGCACTGATCCACATTTTTCACCATTTTGTGACATTTTAGAGACCAAACAGTTCAAAGATTCATCCAAAAAATTATTCTTGTAGACTAATCGTAGCAACTGGACTTGCTTGAGTTCCTTGACGACGTTTCCAGGATTCCATCTCGGCAATGATGTGACATTGGGAGTACTAACGACCCACATAACGAGGGGGAGGAGCAACAAACCCCCAATTGAAACCGAAACTCAGGTGTTAATTGCTCCTTTAGGATATAAGTACCTGGAACTCCCAACTAGTTGGTCAGAATTGATGAAGCCTCTTGGATGAGAGGTGAAACGTTTTCAAGGAACTCAAGCAAGTCCAGCTGCTACGATTAATCTACCAGCATAACCATGACCTGGTTGACTGAGAATCTTCACAGACATCCAGAAAATTGTCACCAATGAGAATCATCGTTGCAGCGCTTGTGATCAGTAATAATTAAAAAGATTCAGGTTTCCTTCAGGGTGAATCTGCTGTTCTTCTGTGTTTGACAGTCGGTCAGTCTGCAGTAAACAAACGCCAGCCTCCTTTAGTTAAAGTCGACAGAGTGTCTCAGATAAATGTGAGGCAGCGTGGGAGTCGAGCCTTTGAATTCCAGATCTGTGTGTCTCCATGACCAGGTCATAACTAACCCTGAGCTCCAGATGTTTCTGTGCAAGTCAGCAGAGCTAATTATTGCCGTCTGCAGCCGAGCTCTTTGAAAAAGACAGAGAAAGAGCCTCGAGAAAAGTCCTCTCTCAAATCTCCCACATTAATCATTTTCCCTTTGTGCTGTAGACACCTGACAAACCTCACATCCTCCCGCACAGCAAATAAGCTCATCTGATCAGACCTAGCTGAGCTCTACAGCTGTCTTTCTCTTGAAATTAGATTTATTTTACAGATTTGTGACATGTTCTAAAGTTTCCACCCAGTTTTTAATCTCAGTTCACAATGTTTTTTAATTAGAAACAATTAATCGCATCTCAACCCGTTTGATTATTTTGTCCTCTGTTATTGTGACTGATAAACCTTCAGTTTCCAGATAAACATTTTTGGAATTATAAGCAGTTGTGGCTGCATCTGCTGAGCATGTGTGGGGACATTTATGGAGCTGTGTGGCATTAGAAAGGTCTGACATCCGGTTTGCATGTACCTGTTGTGTTTTTTCCCCCCCTGCAGCGAGGAAGCACACGAAGCAGGACTCCACCATGAATGAGGAGTGGAAGAGCATGTTTGGTTCTCAGGAGCCGCCGTCCTCGCAGGCCGTCACCGTAAGTCAAACCCTCCAATGCTGCAGGAGCTGCAGGTTTACTGGTGTTTGTCTGCCGCCTGTTAAACTAGAAACCGATTTTGCCCTGCACTGTTTTCATACAGAGCGTTTTAACCAGAATGTGTTCACAAGCCACAAGTCCAAAACCTGCTTATGTAGGACTACAGCTGCAGCCTTTAACTGATTAATTATCAACTACTAAATTAACCTCCAGCTATTCTGATAATCCATTAATCAGTGGAATATTTTTTTAATAATAAATAAATTCTGTGATCGCAGCATCTTAAATGTGAAGATTTTCTGGTTTCTTTCCTCCTCTGTGACTGAACATCTTTGGACAAAACGAGACATTTGAGGGAACACTGATCAACATTTTTCAACATTTTCTAACATTTTAGAGACCAAACAGCTGATTGAATAATCTAGTAAATAATCTGCAAAATTGATTGTCATTTTCACTCTACCTCCAGTTGGACTCCGAATTCAGTAGAAACTACTATTAATTCAACATTTTTAGTGCAAAAGCTAACAATTATTTTCACTTCTGATTAATCTGCTGATGATTTTTGGTTTATTTTCATTGTTTGGTTGCTAAAATGTCACAGGATGGTGAAAATATGTCTTAAAGACACAGGTGATGTATTTAAAAAGACTTCTGCTGTTTGACCACCAGTCAGAAACTCAGTTCACCAGCTGGAGAAATTCTGTGATTGCAGCTTCTTAAATGTGAATCTTTTCTGGCTTCTTTCCTTCTGTTTGACAGAAAACTAAAAATCTTTGAACAAAACACGACAATTGAGGAAACACCAATCTACCTTTTTGGACATTTGTGACGTTTTAAGAGACCAAACAGCTGATTGATTCATCCTGAACATAATCCACACTAAATAAACATTAGTTAAGACCCTTTGAAAAGAGTTCCAGTTTCAATTTCAGCCAGTTTCCTTCCCCCTTTATGTGCCTTTTTTTTTTTTTTTTTAAAGTAATTCACATTACCTAAGTGAAGTTAAAAAAATGCACATGCTTTTGCAGATTACGGTAACATACTGCAAAAAAATATTCAGGACTTGCTCAGCAGTAAACACTGAGGTAGACTGATATTGATTGAGTTTTAGAGTAAATTTGGTCTCGACTAATGAAATATCTGATAGTAGGTCAATTTCTGCCCTTTGTATATGATGTCTATTTCCTGGCAGCAGTGAGATGTTTGTCTCTTTGTCTCCTTATTAAACAAGCTGTCAGTGTCTTTCTTTCATTAGCACAAAGTGTTTGCGTCCAGTTGGCTGCTGTTGTTGCACAGAAACATGTGTTTCTTATTAGTGGCCACACTGAACGTCTAAACAGTCACATCAGAGATTAAACTGTAGTCTGAATGTGGGCCAGATTTCCACTCTGAGTGGGCCCATGTCAGAATTTTATCAGTAATGCAACTTCATTATGACTTCAGTTTGATTGTTTACTTCATTGGCTCTGGTTTGGTTTATTTTTGACTGACCTGTTGAACATCTTCTGCTTGTAACCAACAGTCAGTTAGTCCAAAACTTAAAATATGTCCTTATAGCTCATAAAAGGATTACCAAGAAATTTAGAATGAGAATCATTTCCATTCATCTGTATAGTAACAGCTGCATCAAACAGTTTTTATCTTTCTTCTTTTGCTGTGGTTAAATGGCACCGACAGATTGTTTCAAACTACTTAGTTTCCAATCTTCGACCAACTACATTTTAATGAGCATCTGTTGACACAGACATCACAGATTTAGCTGCAAAACCAAACAGGACAGCCAGAAGAAGACAACAATAACTTGGAGAAGGAGATTTGTTGGATTTAAAACAAAAAGAACAAGACGAATAAATTGCAATTATTTTTCTGACAATTAATCGACTGAAATGTTATGATTGTGACAGCTGGCAGTATCTTTGTCAACCAGGCGATGTATCCTGGTGACTTTTCATCTGATGATCTATTTTGCATTCACTGCTAATTATTCATGTTTACATGCTAGCACGCTAAACTAAGACAGTAAAAATGGTTTCATCTTTAAGCCTTTAGCTCAGTGCACCGCTGTGTTTCAGTGCAGGCGGAAATAAAAAATGAAAATAGGAAACTTTTTAACCAAACTATTTATGTTTCTTTCCCATTGTCGATCAATATGTGGATTGTTTCTCTATTGAGCTGTCAGAGAAGAGGAAAGAAACCAGAAAATATTCACATTTGAGAAGCACAACTACACATGATGATTGTAATTTTTCAGACATTGATTCTCTTTAAAGGTTTATTGGCGCGAACTGAACACCACTAACATCACGTTGATCTTATAGGCCTACAATAAAACCTACAGTGATCGCTAAAAACCTAAAGCCCCCTACAGTCATTGTTTGGTTTCTCCTTTCTGGGCTGCTGTGGAAAGATGATGGTGCACTGCTCAATGTGTAGTGGGAAATTGTTCATTTTAAGGTGACAAAAACAATTAGTTTTACTTTTAGGTCATTACACAGTAAAATATAATTCTGATTATAGTATTCAATGTTTAGGCCTCCCCAAATCCTGCACCCTGAACCTTTAGGTAGCACCTGAAACTAAATGCCCCCACACCTGTCCATCTCAGTTTGGGTGAAATATTCAAGTTGAACTGGTTGTTTAATGATGTGAAACATCATCCCAACTCAGTCTACAGTTGGTGAAATGTAATTTGAATCTGTTTTCAGGCCACTGACGGGCCGGTCAGTCAGATCAGGAAGAGTGCTGTAGCTCCGGCTGTTCCAGTGTTGCAGTCGGTGGCGAGCGGTCCGGCCTACCAGCGACGCATCAACACCTGCAAGGCAGAGCTGCAGCAGCTGGTGCAGCAGAAGAGGGAGCAGTGCAGCGCCGAGCGCATGGCCAAGCACATGATGGAGAGCGCCGAGTGGGAGAGCCGACCACCTCCACCCGGTAACGCTCTGTAGCCACAGTACATTGCAGACAGGGGGTGCTGCATCTGACGAAAGTGACCTAACAGAACTGTGTTGTTTCAGGGTGGCACCCCAAAGGTCTGCTGGTGGCTCACCTCCACGAACACAAAGCTGCAGTGAACCGCATCCGAGTCTCAGACGAACACTCCATCTTTGCCACGGCGTCAAACGACGGCACTGTCAAAGTCTGGGACAGTCAGAAGATGGAGGGAAAGACCACGACCACCCGGTGAGTCTGTCGGGCCGCTTTCACCCCTGAGCTGCTCTGTTCTGCTGTTTTAAAGTCTAATTCCACTAAGAAAGAGGCCTGCTCAGAGGCAGTTTCCAGATTCTTCCTGCTTGTTTAGAAGTCGGTCCTACTCCAACAGACAGCTCACACGGTGGGATGTGGAAACTGGAAGCTCACGATGCTGACACAGTAAGAATGGATCCATTAAGCAGGCTAATATCTAATATAAAAGAAGAATCTAAATATCCAATAAATTACTTAAAAATATTTAAAAATTTGAAAAAACGTTCTAAATGAATACAACTAAAAAAAACATTTACTTTGTAATCAAACCATGTAAAATAGATCCAAAATATCTGAAACGTCATTTAAAAAAGTAAAAAGGAATACATTAAAAGAGAAAAATTCTGAACAATCTGAAAAAAAACAGAAGCTAAAAAATATAAAATATATATTTTTTAAAAATTACAGAAAATATGAGTAAATTTGAAATCATATTCTAAATAAAAAAACAAATAAACATTTAAAAAAAAATTAAAACCTTAAATATGTCAACTTTTAAGAAAACATCTTAAACACAAGATAATTAAAAAAAAACTGTTCAAAAAACATTAAAAAAAGAAAAACAAATGTACAAATACCAAAAATATTCTAAAATTATAAAAAAATCTAAAAAATAAAACCAAATCTAAAATGTCCACTGGTTTAATCTGTAACTGTGTGTTGTATCTTTAAAGCTTCTTATATAATATCCATTGTGTCAAATCTGCATCTTAAAAAAAGCTGTAAATAAACGTAGTGTGATAGAAAGTACATACATGCAAGTACAGAGTGTAGCAGAATGGAAAGAAAGTGAGGTCCAGTGTAAACTGTCACCCTGTCTGTATAAATAAAGGTTGAATGAATAAACAGAAATCATTGTTTTACAGATCGTTAACAGCTCACTCTGTCCCTGCAGGTCGGTGTTGACTTACTCTCGTATCGGAGGTCACGTGAAGACGCTCACCTTCTGTCAGGGCTCACATTACCTGGCCGTGGCCTCCGATAACGGCTCCATCCAGCTGCTCGCAGTCGAAGCGAATAAACCACCAAAGTCCCCCAAAGTGCAGCCCTTCCAGACCAGGTAACGGAAACACATCCACAGGCAACAAGCCCAGGCTCTCTACACCCTGGCTTTACTGGTATAATATTATCCATAGTATCCAACATGATCCAGGTCGTCCATCCTCCAGCTTGTGGCTTTGTTTCTTTGTGGGACCTGAATCTAGTTTATGCTGAGCTCATGTAGAAGCTGATTTAGTAAATTGCTGCAATCTTTTAAAGTAACAAACCACTGTGAGATCTTGCTGTCATAGCAGAAAAAAATAGAAAAACGAATCAGTTTCATGTGCTATTTAGAGTTAATTGTTACAATATTTATCATGTTATAACGTGATAAAATCGTGTTATAGATAAATATTTTCACATTATTACAGTGTGAACAGATACATTTAGGAACGTGGTGCACACGATGAAGGATTTTAAAATGCACAGGACTGTTCAGAGGAAAGTATGATTCTCTGGAGGGCCACTGAAGGCTCCATGGATACGTGACTAATCAATATATCATCTGTCGTGATCAATGACAGCAGAATGTCTCATCACAAGCAAGGAAAGCTTAAATCATGTAAAGGAGACAATTTTCTGAAATGATCTGTTACCTGTGCACCGTTTCCACATTCAGATATAAATAACGCACTGCGATAATGTGAAAGTATCTTTTAAGAACATTTCCAGTTATCTGCTCTCAGTGTTTTAAGTTCGTACGATATAACTGGAAACTGATCTGTTTTTCTTTTTCTGATGTCGCCGCAGCACCACAATGTTCCAAATCACAATTTAATTATCTGTACATCTGACATTTATTTTCTTTTGTAAATATAAGTTTAGAAAATACTCATTAGTAGTTCCAAATGTGAGTTTATCATCACATAAAACTGTGAAACTATCAAAAATTCACATTTCTCTGGTCACCGAAAAACTTTGGCTTTTTTGCCTTGACATTAAACGAATCATCAGTTAGCAAAGCCAGCTGATATTGTTGATTCATCACAGAGCAAAAGCAACTTAGACTTCTCTTTTCGGTTCTTGAAGACATTTCACTTTTGTTAAAGAGGCTTCTGTTCTGAAGAAACATCTTTATTCCATCTCAAATCATCAGAGTCCTTCTGCTGGACCATCTGTGATTGGCTTGAAACTTTAGATTGACATATCAAATACTCTCTGAAATAATTGTTTTTTATTTTTTAAATTGCCCATCGACCCATTTTCTGCACGTTTAAATTTGAGGCTGTTTTAAGGACGGTGTACTGTTGATTAATCATCATTTCTGAGAGCTGGTTGGGTTCTGGCTGCGTTTGGAAGATGTTGACAGATGTGCCCGTCTCAGGTCTCTGGACCTGCAGGAGGACGGCTGTGCGGTCGACATCCACCACTTCAACTCAGGCGCCCAGTCGGTGCTGGCCTACGCCACTGTTAATGGCTCACTGGTCGGCTGGGACCTTCGCTCCAACTCCAACGCCTGGACACTGCGACACGACCTCCGCCTCGGACTCATCACCTCCTTCACCGTGGACATGCACCAGTGCTGGCTGTGCCTGGGTCTGTTTGTACATTCACACATCCACTGTGAGGTTTTTATTAATACCCGACCAGTTTGTCAACGATGTCGACATGCAGAGACCATCATCACCTGATATCATGTTGTTGATTTTCTGCAAACAGCTATTTAATAAAACGAGGCACAATTGCTCATCTACTCTGCACTTATTTAAAATTTTAAAAAACTTCATCTTTTTTTTTTTTTTTTTTAAATTTTTTAAAATATGTTATTTAGATTTTTTTTTCAATATAAACAAACAGACAACAGGCACGAGGACAAGAGGACCTGATAGAGTTTTAAAATATGTAAAAGAACAACAGTCAAAGGGGGTCATGATGCAGTTCAAAGCTGAAAGATGTCCTTAAAATTTAAAGAAAAACAGCCCCTTGTCCATAAGGTCCTCGATACGAAATGAAATTACACGAATAAAACAGGAAAAAACAAAAAGCAAAAACACATAAAATAAAAAAACTTTAATGTATGCAATATATATATGTCTGTACACAGGTTGCTAACATTTGTTTTAAGAATAACTAACTAACTTAGAATGAATGGAAAACTCTACAGTCACCAGTGCAGATCGACCCTTTAGCCATCCTCCTGTTGATATTTAGGATTTTTAGCAAAAATATATAAAATGTAAAAACAAAAATGTAATTGGGCATTTGATTTTCGAGGTGCCTCTACTTTTATATAAATACATATCTGTCAAACATCTGTTGACCTGAAAACGCTGAGGCTGTAATCTGAATTTGGTTCTGGAATTCCACGGAGCTTCATCCCACACAGGAAAAGACGAAGAGTAGTAACTTTAAATTGCAGTTTGTGTCACGTTAAAGTTTTGTAAAACTAGTCGACTTGTGTGTCCTCTGCAGGAACCAGCAGCGGCACCATGGCCTGCTGGGATATGCGGTTTCAGCTCCCCATCTCAAACCACTCCCACCCAGCCCGAGCACGAATCAGACGGCTGCTGATGCACCCGCTCTACCAGTCATCAGTGATCGCAGGTCAGACCGATTCAAAGGTGTTTTGAACCTCAGTGAAGCTGTTTAGTTTGAACAATTTGATCTGTGTTCGTGTGATGACGTCTGAAAAAAGATAAATCGGTGTGTCCGTCTGTGCAGCCGTTCAGGGGAACAACGAAGTGTCCATGTGGGACATGGAGACTGGAGACCGTAAATTCACCCTGTGGGCAAGCTCGGCACCTCCACTGTCAGAGATGCAGGTACGTGTGTGTCTGGAAATTTACCAATAAGCAGCAACATTCAACAGTTCTAGATACTAAATCTGTTAAAAAAAACGCCAAAACAGTCAGATGAATGTATTTCAACCTAAACTTTGACAAACTGAACAATAATAACTGTAGCTATGAATCTCCCAGTTTCAGTTCAGTACCTCTGTCTGCACGCTTTACTTACGTAGGTAAAAGTTTCAGTACAGCAAAGCAGAAATACTTAGTTACAACAATAACTAAGTACTTGTAGTTAGTTACTGTCCAACACTGAGTGTGTGTTTGTGTGTTTGCAGCCGTCTCCTCACAGTGTTAACGGGATCTACTGCAGTCCTGCTGATGGGAATCCTCTGCTGCTGACGGCCGGATCTGACATGAGAATCAGGTGTGAACCAGAAAAAAACTCCAGAAAACCTTCCTGCAACAAATTCGCTGCCTTTTAAAAATCAAGTTTATAAACAATGTGCTGCTTATTTTCATCTACAATGTGGATTTCTTTAGACATTTAATTGATGAAATTATTTAGAAAATGCAAAACGGATTAAACCTTCTTTTCCAGCTGGAGAGTTTAACTGACTCTAAGCTGATAAGTGAAGACAAACCTGCGATAACTGATTTTTACAGCCTTCTGGTGAATCTGTTCAACTTTCTGGCAAACAGTCAAATGTTTAGAGTCGTGTTTGTTTCCAATTTTTGGCTCTTTAAGCTCTGTTTTTGGTCTCCACCAGCCACGAAGGAGAAATGTGGCTTTTTTGATGCTAAATATTCACCAGCCAGTAACTTTTACAGCAGTTTCTTTGAAAACTGAGTGAATCAAAACAGTGCAGCTGCAGCTGTACTGCAGGGCTGCACTAACCTTCATCATGTGAATAAATGAATGTGATCAACTGTAAGTTTTGATGTTTAAATTCTTCGGCTCATAGAAAATTCTGCTGCATGTTGAATTAAGTTTTTAATAATAATCTCAACCTCAGTTTTGATCAAATAATCGTGATTATCATCTTGGATGTAGTCGTGCAGCCAAACAGGCTGAATCAGCTGATAATTTGAAAACTGTTACTGTATTAGGTTTGTCTAAGTACATAACTTCATAATAATAATAATAATAAAAATTCTACTGTCCGTGATTAGATCACTTTAATAAGCCAGTGTGCTGCTCCTATTAGATATCAGCTCCACACAAACACTGCCATGCTTATAAAGCCTTTATATGTATTTTTTTCAGGACACTGTTTCTGTAAAATATCCCATCTTGCCACTTTAAAAGGAGACAGTGATGCTGCAGACGGAGGAGGAACCAGATGTGATTTTAGGAGCTGTAGTTGTACTCGTCCGTGAAATCAGATTTGGTAGAATTCTAAACAAACATCACAGCTGCTCATTTTTAACAGCCACTGAAAATTAAATGATTAAAACAATATAAAACAAGAGAGAGTTCTGGTCTGAGCCTCCTTTCAGTAAATTACCTCTGAGGACAGAAACAGACTCCAACAACAGAACATCTGCGAAATTCTGGAGAAATCCTCCTCAGACAGTTAAAAACAGATGACAGTGAATCACAGCGGCTGAATGTGAATTATTGGGAACTAAAACAAACCTGCAGAGGCAGCAGACGCTGAGTCATGACTCTGAACATGTGGTTTTAAAGCAGTGTCTGATTGGCTGTGTTCAGGTTCTGGGACCTGGCCTATCCAGAGAGGTCGTACATCGTAGCAGGAGGAGCCAACGACTCACTGCACTGTCCGTCTGTCCTGTACAGCCGCAAGATCATAGAGGGAACAGAAGTCGTACAGGTGGGCACACACACACACACACACACACACACACACACACACGTATAGATACACACTGGTGTACACAGACACACACAGTACAAGTATAGGTACACAGTGGTACATTAACACTTTACAAGTACACACACACACACACACACACACACACACAATGCACTACTATGCACATGTACACGCACAATGTACAGTTGTATACACAAACACACACGCACCATAAACAGGTATGTGGGCGGCTGTGGCTCAGGTGGTAGAGCGGCTGTCCTCTGATCGTAAGGTTGGTGGTTCGATCCCCGGCCCCTCCACAGTCGAAGTGTCCTTGGGCAAGACACTGAACCTGAAGTTGCTCCCAATGGCAGGCAGCACCTTGCCATTGGTGTTTGAATGTATGTGTGAATGGGTGAGTGAGAAAACATTGTAAAGCGCTTTGAGTGCCGCTAAGGTAGAACAGCGCTGTATAGGTGCACCCACAGGCACACTCACACTGCACTGCTATACACACAGGTAGTACACGCACGCTGTACAGATATGTAGACACACATGCACACAACAGGTGTACACACAAATACACAAGCGCACACACACAATGAACAGCAGCCAGTTTACTGAACGTCAAACTGAACTTTGTGTGTGTGTAGGAGATTCACAGTAAACAGAAGAGCGGCGTGGTGGAGGATTCGCCTCGTCGCGGCCCAGAATCTCTTCCTGTGGGACACCATGACATCATCACTGATATCGCCACCTTCCAGACCACGCAAGGCTTCATCGTCACCTCGTCCAGAGACGGCATCGTCAAGGTGTGGAAGTGAGCGACAGCAACAACAACACAACACCAGTAATAAAACACACACACCTGTGTGATGTGTGTTAAACTTTAACATCTGACTGAAAGCTACTGTTTCTGTTAATTCAATATCAGTGTGCGGATCTCAGCAGCAGCATGAAAACCTCCAGCTACAGGATACATTTGTGTATTAGAATATTTGTTTATTCGAGTTTTTTCTGTTTGAGCTCAACATGTGTTTGAAGTCACTTTATATTCATGAGATTTAAGGTCATTATTATATAAGAACATTAGTGACCAACTCAGGCCTGATTGAGTTCATTTTAAAACTATTTTATGGCTGTTTGTTGAAAGGTGAGCCAAAAAAAGCTCTTTTTTTATTTGCTGGTCGAGTTTGTACATAAATTATTTTCAACGTGAGTAATATAAAGTTTGGTGGCAAACTTGTAAAAATAACAACAAATCTTACTAACTGCAGATGAATCATGTGACCTGAAATGTTCTGTTTGTCCAACTGTTCAATAAAATCTGCAAAAATCTGTTCTGATGTACAAGATGCTTTTGTCTTTTGTTTGTAATCCTTTGTTTTGTTTTCTTTGTATGGCTTTTGTTTTTATTCAGTGAAATCATGAACGGCGTATTTTGAGGCTTTACAGAATTCATTTTTGGTTGTAATAATTTCAGCGTGACTTAGG